AAAAAAAGAAGCTAAAACTTTGTTGAGATTAACGTATGGAGAAAAACGTGATCTCGAACTTCTTCGTAATATAGTAATACTCTTGAGTATTTATTTCATGGGTGGTATTCCAACTCTATTATTTCTGGTCAGTTCTCAGAAAATATTGTATTTAATGGGTATTGCTACTATATCATTAACTGTGGCTGTTGAAAAACTATGTACAATTTTGCTAGATCAAGAACTTCGACAAGTTATTAGAAAATTATTAACTAGAGTGAGACGCATTACACCTGTTGACAATACAAATATAATAGCAAGATATCGACTGAATCAAACAAATATTCAACAAATTATTGTGCAACCTTTACCAAAAATTCAAAACACATTATTTTAGACAACGTGAATCTATTGTTTGGTATGATTCCAAACAAGTCATTTGATGACTGATTAATAATTCGCGAATAACTTAGATCTTTTTTTGTTGTATTGTTCAGTCTCGTGCATTCTCTTATGTTTTGCTTGCTTCTTGAATAAAAAAAAAATCTTATTTAATGAACAAAATGGATCAATCATTATGTAGAGAAGTCATGAAATAACAACATTATTTAAGATATAAAAGTCTAATGCTCTTTGCCGTGAGAGTGTGTAGGTCATCTATACATCCACACCCTGTAAAATAGTTTTGGTAATACAATAAAAACTGTTGATTTTATTGAAATGAACTGTTTATAATTAATAAAATAGAACTTTTTCAAATTCATTACAATAATGGATTCACGTTCACTTCTATGGATTCTAAATTCATGTCATCATAATTTCATTTAATATTTATTTGTATTGACATCAAAAGTTATAAAGAATAGTGTTTATCTTTTGTTGACCGAAAGGACGATGTATTTAGAAGCTTACTGAACGATTAAATCAATATGTATTGCAGGCTAATGTGGTGGTTGAACTGACGAAACGAAGAATAAAATGATATTTGCCGCTTCCTACGGCATGTATCATATATATTATCATTAGAAGCAAAAAAGTCATTCATTGTAGATGTATCTAACAATATAAATAAGTTTTTTTTCCAGTATAACGATATTAAATAAATCTAATAAATTGATAGAATAATAATCTCAAATGCAAACATTTTCGAAATGATAATGTTTCAGAGCGTGCGTATCAACTATAAAAATTGTTTTCATTTGGATTTATTCATTTATTTGACATTTTTAAAATAGATTATTTTAATCTCTCTGACAATATGACATAAATTTATAACGGTCAGAGTTTGTCAGTTTCACATATTGGTTCCTTATAGGACAGCACTGACAAGTTTTTAATTAATTGATTAATTTTAATAATTAGTAAGCTGAAAGAACCAACATTTTTACATATGTCTATGCTAATAGAACTTATTCAGAAAAATAATCCTTATAAAGAATGAAAGTCAAATGAAAGGTGAGTGTGTTCCGTTTTGCTTGAAATGGCCTATATACAGTTCTGGACAAAAGTAACTGCCCTCTCATGAAGTGCTACTATTCTTTATGATATTAGAACTAATCTTTTGGATGCGTGCGTGCAACAATAAATCTTGATCGCAAGCACCAATCTGTCCTACATCGGTTCATATGTACTGGAATTATAATGAATACATCGTCTTTCGTTTGTAAAAAATCTTATTCAGTGAAAATATACATTCACAAAGTTTTTCTTTATCATTTTGCTATTCCACAAGCTACTGCTGTTTTTTTCCTAGCGCTATGCCTGATGCTTACGAGCATGATTTATTATCACACGCATACAACCAAAATATCACCTCAATATCATAAAGAATAGTAGCACTTATACGGGACAGCTACTTTTGTCCAAGATTGTATTATTGGGAGTTACTAATAATACCTGTTGATACTATTTAACAACACAATAGAAAGTTATACTTGATATGCTAATTGATTTCCTTTTATCTGAAAGAAAATTTCCTATAGTCTCAGTGTTTATTAATGGAACAGTAAGAATGCATATATGAAAACAAATAAAGCATAAACTAAAGGCAATCAATTATATTTTTTGTTGAATTTGGTGGACACGTTTTTGTACTCAATGATTTAAGTGTATTCCCTATGTGTTTCTTTTTGTTATATGTACATCCACTATTAATATTACTGAATGAGTTATTAATAGGGGACTTACATTTTTTTGTTGAGACTCTTTCATGAAAAAAAACGCAATACTGTTAAATGAACAAAGAAGACAAAATACTTAAAGGTCAAACTTTTCAAATAATTATTTTGCATTGAACTTAATTGAATAGGAGTACCTTTCATCTAAATTAAACAGATCATTTTTTTTCAGGCAAATTCACATCAATTGATATGAATTCGTTTCAAGCTTTTTGAATAAGAATTTTTTGCACATTATTTATACTTTTCTTCATTTAAACAAAAAAATACAAATTATTAAAATTTGTTTTATATGACGCATATTTGCAAATGTTTCACAATTTAATCAATTACTAATACAATTCAAATTCTTTGTTAAAAATAGACTCTTCTTAAAAATCAAAGGTCATATACGTCGTTTTTATCTTTTTTTTCAAAGGTTGACCCACTTTTCTTTCTATTTTTTATTTACTGAAGGATAATAAATGAAAGATTCTCTTATTCACAAAGTACTCCACATTCAAATCAATCATTTACACTTACGAGAGAACATGTTTTCAAAAAATATGCTCATAGCATCAAGTGAATATATACGCTCAAAACATCATCGTGGCCATTGGTATAATAAAGAACATCGTCCTTCTATTGATGATTATGGGGGTAATCGTCATAAAGCAATGATCGAATTACAAGAACATTTAGGTCGACCTGGAACAATGGCAAATGAAATCGAACATTTAATGGGTCCACCAACTAAAATTCTTGATCAGCCTGATGCAACTCTTTTAGCTGCACTCAAACGTAATAATGAAAATTATAAATATCCTGATGATGCTAAAATCTGGATCTATGAATGGCGTGGTAATCATGATTATGTTTATTTTCTTATATCAAAAGACAAGAAAGTTATTCAATCAGCTTGGTATTACTCATTTGAATAAAAACAAAAGAGAAACTTTCATTTATTTATTTTTTGTTTCTTTTCTATTAATCCAGATTTTTAAACATGCGAATAAATGAATAAGCAACAGACATAAACAGAAAGAAAAAAAGTATTAAAGAAAATATATGAAAATTTCGTATATTTTTTTGAAATTTTGTTAATTCTTTAATATCTTGTTGCTGTGAATTCGGTTGTTGACGAGATAAATCAATCTTTGAAAGTAATGTATTTCTTCTAAAACAAAGAAAATAGACTACATATTTGTTGAAATTTGTCATTGTTTATCAATGCAATGAAAATGTTAATGAGTTGTATCTATAATTATCAATGATTATATACACGACTTTCTCGTTGGTTGTCTATAATTACAGTTGACAATTCATTTTTTTTTATTATTATTTTCTGTGTTTAGGATCTTATTATCATATGTTACGAAAGACCTACCTGTCAATGGTACTTGAAGTCATTGATTCACTGATCATATTAATACTGTTTTTTGTTTTTGGAATATAGAAGCTATAATATATTATATAATAATTTAATATTGACTTTTATTTTTGTATCTGATGATAATGACACACATATAAAATACAATTCTAATGATACCTTGCATTAAAAGTTCAGAGAAAGATTCTGAAATAGTGGAAAGAGTTCATGTGACAATGACTATTTCATTTTGTATTCGAGCAATTTATAGAACATATGAATTGACGTAGAAATT